TAAAGCAACACTGTTTAAGTTTTAGCCACCCTGAGGACCACTGCATTGTCTCAAAATGAAAAGGAAACATTTCCCTTCTAAATTAAATCGTACATCACAGAACCAAAATGTGTCTGATCAGGTGTTTTATTGCCTAACATGAACTTTTAGCTAATTTCAGCTTTTGTTGTTTCGGGGGAGTTAAGACTAAAGCGGAGTAACATGACTCATTCAGCGATGGATCCAACCCGGTTACAAAGGAGCGTTTTTATTTTCCACCATATTTTGCAAATAAATTCTTTAAAAATCAGACAATGTGATTTTCTGGATTTTTTTTTCTCATTTTGTCTTTCATAGTTGAGGTATATCTATGATGAAAATTACCGGCCTCTCTCATCTTTTTAAGTGGGAGAACTTGCACTATTGGTGGCTGACTAAATACTTTTTTGCCCCACTGTATCTCAAATTAACTGAATACATGGGTCAAAGCATGCATTGTGTTGTTGGAATACTAACTATGTATTTATATAAGTATCGTTTTAGTTACCTCATTTTTAATCGATTGTCTATGCCTGTGTTCAAAAATATTTGTCCTCTTGGAGTTTACCTATTTCGTTTGCTTATAACCTGGAATTAAAACGGATTAATATGGATTTTGGCCCATTTCCTGGCTGATCCAGCTGCTTCAAGCTAAGGAATTTATGCTGGTTGTCTGATTTGACAGACTCGTTCTCCCACATTAACATGCATTCTTCTTTCCCAATCTGAATGTTATTTTAGCACTTTTTTTTTCTCTCTCACTCGATGTTTTGGTTTGGGATTAAACTATTTTCAAACATGCACAATTTTCAACAAAGTCTTACCTCCGGTAACACATTCCTACTTTGCTTCACTTCTGACAATTCATTCATTGTCTGTCGATGAACCCCATAGCATAATGCTGCCACTTCCATGGTTTGCTGTTAGGATGCATTCCATTCCTGGATGCATTTGTTCTATCGAGTCGAACCACATGTATTGATCTCTTCATACTGTAACCCCATGAAGTTTAGATTGTAGACCAAGATCTTAACTTTGTTCTTCTGCTACAACAGCTGGAATAATCAGCTCCTTTTCCAATGGGAAAATGATCAAAGGAAATCCAGCAGGTGGTTGATAAAGTGACAAAGTAGACTGCAGACTAAAATTAAAACCGTTTATACCGCTTTAAAGTATTCATCTTATATGTTTCCTAATATTTTGTCTGTGAAAATTTTTTTTCCTAATATCTTTATTAAAATTTGCAATACATGAAAACTGGAAAGAGTCAAGGCTAAATTCCTGTTCTGGAGAAATATTTCCCTGTCAGAGGATGAATATTTTGGTCGAGTCAAAACAAAATCAAGTGGGAAATGTTGGTTAGACATGTTGAAAAGATGTCAAGTTCAATACCATTGCATGCTGGACCCTTAAGAAGAAATCAGACCCCTTATACTTTTTCACATTTGGTTTCAAATCAGCTGAAAATGTTAGGAATCCAGTTTGTGTGGGTTGTTTGTTTTTCTCTCTCGACCAACAGGTGGTGCCCTGTTCTCGTTGGGCCTCCCTACACACCTGCGGCTCGTTGGATCATTACTGGAGGAGTATTTGAGCAGTGGGCTGTCACTACCTCGACTCCAGAGTGTTTGCCACTTTTGGGTACTCTAGCCAAGCTGAGATTAGCAGAGTCTAACCTAAGCTTTGTTTCTCTGAGTCTTATCTAGTTTTTGTCTTTCCTCTTTGGCAGGAAGCATTCCTGAGTAACTGGATACCTGGACCTTCTCCCCCTGGAAGGATTAACTGAGAACGCACTGAGCAGGGGAAAATCTCCACATGATCCGTTCAAGTCCTCTTCGGAAATCCAAGAGACAGCCTGCTCCTTTACTCCTCTGGGTCCAACGCTTGTCTATCTTTCCGCGCTCCATCGAGTTCCCTCTTCTCTGGATTAACCCCCACATGCTGGATTCAAGGTTTGACAAGAGCCCCCTCAGACGTGAGTCCCTCTCCGGTAATATTCAAGCCTCAGTCAAATTTCCTACGGTCCCTGAACTGATCATTGTGATCTCCCCTTCAGACTTTCCAGTTCCGGTTCACCAGTCCACTGAGTTCCAGATCCAACTTCTGTTATACTTTTACATTTAATAAACCTGTTAAACTTTTTCCTTAGTAGAACATAGCTGCAAAGTGAGACGAAACTGTAGATTATCTTCAGAAGTATTATAGAACTACCATTCCCTGTAATTACACCTACATGTCTCTGTTATTTGTGCCTAAGATGCTCAGGTGTAGATTGGTTGGAGAGTCGCTGGGAGCAGCAGTTGTTTTTCAAATTTTACAGATTCTGATATGGAGTTTTTCCTGACTTTAACTAGACCATTTACCAATATAAACAAGCTATGATCTAAACCATTCCACTGTAGGTCTAGCTGCATGTTTGATCATATCTTTTGCAGTTTCCTATGGACTCTCTCCCAGATTTGCCCTAGTTTTGGCTTCACCTTCTCAGAAAAGTATGCCCCCAGCAAAACAGTGCCACCACCATGTTTTCCCATGTAATATGATACTGTAGAATATTTGGTTTTTGGTCTAATTTGACGAAAGCATGCACTTCCACTTATAAATAGAAATGAACACTACTCCTTTCCTTTTTTTTCTCTTAAAAATTGTGAACACTATGTTTCACTATCCTTCCATTTAGAAAGTTTCCATGACACAATCTTGTCCATCAGCCCAATAGAAATGATAAACTGTGGCAGCACAAGGGGACAAATTGTTAAACTTTTAATGTGAGTTTCTTCCAAAAAAAGTAAAAAACCACTTGATTTTTTTTTTTCCAAGTTGGAAGACGTTTCACTCCCCACCCATAAAGCTTTCTCAATTTAAACTGTCTGGATTAGTGTGGAGCTCAGTAGCCCAACGAGAGCCTTATTATGGCTTAGAAAACATGCATATTGAACGGAAACAGGTCCACTTTGTAAAGGGGAGACGTTAGGGTCATTATTGGCCTGGCTCACAGGAGACATGTTTTGGTCACCTGTGTGGCGATGAGGATTGAGGTGATAATGGGAAGGAATCAGATCTAAAGCTGCATTATAGGTTTTCAAGAGCTGGAACCCGAGTCCTCCTCCTCTGATTAAGGTTATTTTTCTCTCTTAATGTAAATGGCTTCCTTTTAACTTTTTTAGAAATAACTATGGATGACTGAGAATCTTCACCAGCAATGTGAGATTAGTTTTTTTTAACAGAGCAAAACTGGTCAATATGACATATCAGGAAACACTTTTTTTAATAAACCTGAGTAAGTTGTATAAATTTAAGCCCATTTGCACACACACACACACAGAAACACACAGCTGCCTTCCATTACGAGTCCCGCTGAGCCCTTCCTGCTCCACTTTTATCAGTAATTCTGGAGCATGTCAGTGTTTAACCCCCCCCTCCCACACCGTCACACACCGCCTTTCTTTTTTAACAAACTGAACAGCCATGCACGGTCACCCAAACACCCTCTTCCTCGGTCGTTCCTTAACAACAGCCCAGGACACCTGATTAGACAGAAACAGCTGCAGCAGCTGCCACTCTCCTCCTGCTCCCTCATCATGTCATTACTAGACAGTCACTTAAACAGCATGTGGATCAGTGTTTGAGTTTTAAAGAGACAAGATGGGCTTGTTGCATTCACAGGCAAGTGTGGCAAAATAATAATACTCTTTTTGTGGTCCTTCTTCTCTCCACAGGAGACTCCTTCCAGTGTTTTTGTGAGACTGCAGGATTTCTTTCTCATGGCTGCTTCCAACACAGAGTGGAAAGCACTTAAAACTAAAAAAAAAGAAGATATTTTTACAATGTTCAAACTCCCTTCCCTTTGGCTACAAAAGGATGCCAGGCTGCTGCAATCCTCTCATGAGTTTATGGTGTTAACATGAAAAAGAAAAGGAAGTGGTTTAAATACAGAGTGAGACGAGCCAGTGATTATCACTCAGTAATTACCAGCAGATCTATTTCACAGGGGATTGGGGTAACCCACCACCCACCCCCCTCTTTTTTTTCTTCCATTACTTCCATCAAGATGAGTAACATAAATTTATGCTGCAAGGATTCACGCAAAGCTGAAGACATGGGCTGTAAATCCCTTCTCTCCTGAAATTCAATAAAGAAAAGCAAACATGCCCTTGATTCGTCCTTGCAGTTCTCTACTCAACAGTGATCACAATTAAATCGCTTTTCTAAAGGTTGGAGAAGAAATATGCACCATTTATCAGTCGAATTGGGATTAAGTGAAATTATATTTTAGGGGGAACACAAGAGACAGCCCCTTCATTAACAGGTGCGTTATTATTTTGTTTTTAAAGTGAAGTAATACTGGACATGTTAAGTCCAAACACGCTCACAGACGTCAAGTGGGGGCATTTGCGCTATGCGTAAAAAAAAAAGCATTTGCGATAAGGACGCAAAACATGGCACAACAAGGCAGATTAGGAGGAAGACGCACATGGAACCGGTGGAGATAATCCCGTTATCTCGTTGGACGTGCAACCCCGGCGTGAAAGCATCCTCAGAGACAGAGAGGAACTGAACACGAACTAATGCTGCGGGTGTATATGACCTGAGGAGGAGGAGGGGGGTGCGGGAAACACGCGGGTAAACACTGCTGCTCTTGACCTTAAGGAACACGCTCGTCTTTTACCGCAATGTCACTGGCGCTCTCCGTTAGTAATTGAGCCCACACTCATTTCCTCCCCTTTAAGACGTTGGAAAAACCTTTGATTGTCTTTTATTTCCAGTTGTAACAGCTTGTTCTCATCCGGTGATGGATGACTGCTGTCAAGTGGAGCCGGGCGGGAATCAGGGGCTCTCCTCAGGTCTGCGCACCCTGGTTATCACCTTTACGCGCGAGAGGAGCAGCGCGTGTGCACAGAAACATAGACCCACATATCTTAGAGGGAAATTACGCACGGCTTAAGTCTAAATAAATAAACAAAAGAAGACAGGACAGCACTTACGGGATGAGGCAGGACTCTGTGCGCTCCATTGGGGTTTTCCAGCTCTACCCCCCCTCCTGCTTTAACGGAATCCTCAAATTCCGTGGTCGCAGTCCACGTCCCTGCAGATGTACCAGAGGATCACATAGAGGATGAGCAGGATGGCGAAGATGAAGAGCGCAACTAGGATGGCTTTGGTCACCGGAGAAATGAGCGACTGCATGTCAGGAGCAGAGCCGGGCAGAGCGGCGTCCGTCCGGTCCTCAGTCTGCCGTCTCTCCCTCCCTCTCCTTCTATCTGGTGGCAACTGTTGAGGACTTAGGTCTTTTTAAACACACGTGTAGGTGCCCCGCGTGCGCGTACACGCGCAAACCCGGGCTGCGAGAACGTGTGTTTAAATAAATATATATATAAAGCCGCGGGGATCCAGGCGCGCAACGCGTGGGGGGGCTTCCCTCTCTGGAGGTGGTGGAGTAGTGAGCTCTGATTAAATCTTTCCGGCGTCTTGTAGAGCATCAACACTGAAGTGGAAACAGCCCACTCACGGTTCAGTCAAAGGGAAATGCTCGGTGAGATGTGGATATGCTGGCAGAGAGCTGTCAGTGCGTGCTGGATGGAAAAGTTGCGCACCAAGCTGCCTGCTGCACTTGACGGCAAACAGGTTGATTAGTATTCCTCTCAGCACCGTCTGTGCGTGTGAGAGAAAAATGCTGGTGTGACAGGGTATCTTCTTATCTCTACACCCTGCATGTCGCTTTTTTGAGCAAAGGTGCCATTCTAAGAAGAATTAGGCGCGTCTCATTTTATTCCTGGATTAAAATAGTTTACAATTGGGCGCTTCTTTGTTTTACTATCGGTTTGTGACACAATTAGAGCAACATGTCAGGTAACTGATATTAAAAAGCAACTCTAAAGCTATAGGATAGCACTTTGCAGCTCTGCAAAGGTGTTCACATTTCTATTCTTTATCTTTAGACGCCTGTTGGATTTCCTAAACTTGTGTTTTTCTTACAAATTTTCGCAAAAATCAGTAAAACACATTTTTTGGATAAATTAAGCTTCAAATGAAACACATTGAAAAGAGTGAAACAGATCTCCTGGCATGTGAAGTAAAAAAAAACATTTAAAACATGTCAAATATCTTTTTACTCATGTTAAAAGTACTGATTTATATTTATTTTTAAGGGAGGGGAAAAAATGAAAAAATATTTTCAAATAAATCAAGGAAAACCGTAAAACCTACATCTTTCTACAGTGATTATATGAAAGAAAAAACTCTGCGATGATTAAAAAAAAAACTTTTTGGCTAACATGCATGGCATATGTTTTGGGCAAAAACTGACACCCCCAAGACACCATCTCCATATTAACATAGTGGTGGCAGCATTATGCTGTGGGAATGCTTTTTTTTTTTTTTTTTAGCATTCCAATAGAGAGTTTAACTGTCATAGTTGATTATTTGGACTTATATATAGAGAACACAGTTTGTTTAAACTTCGAAAAGATTTGGGAATAAGGAAAAATGAAAGACAAAAACTTACGGTAGTTGCAGGATAAATCTTTTGGTAGGTCGGAATATTTCAGCTTTAATTTAGGTAGAAATGTTGTGTGTTCAGACTAAAAACATTTAAAGGCATTACATTTTATTTTTAAAGTGCTTTATGACCTATGCTGATAGTTATTGAAAGAGTTTTATAAGCTTTGCACAAATCATTATAGGCCACCAACACCTTATGTTACTGTTAAAAAAAAGGCCTCACATTGATTAAATATTCCCATAGAAAGAGCTGTTTTTTTTTTGTTTTTCATAATGCATATTTGAACTATAATACACTAACAGAGACCTTAAATATCGAATCTGTGCTCACATCTGCGCAATTAGAACATCTCAGTAGATCAGCGAGTAACGTAATGAGGAACTTCCTCGTGTCACCCACTAGATGGCGACAAACACACATCTTGCATGTCTGTCCTCATCAAACGTGATAGTGTAAAACATTATTCTCTGCAGCACTTCGGAGTTGTGCCAAATAGTGATGACTGTTAAACAGCTCTAACCCACATAGGTAAGAATATATATTGCTATATTTGAATTTGGCATGGTCTAATGGTCAAGTTATAATAAGGGCTAGTGTCTGTCGTATCAGCGAGCAAGCAGAGTGCAGCAGAGCGGTGGATGCTAGCTCTGCTTCAGCTAATTTAGGAGAAGGAATCAATTTACGCCTTTCAAGCTCCCAAATAAGTTCTGTATATGGAATGTCAAATATGCTAAGCTCTGTTGATATTAAGTCATTGCCGGAAACTGGACTAATATTGACAAACCGTTGACTAAGCTAGCGGCTAAGTAGCTAGCTACACACAGGCCGGAAAGATTGTCAAGTTTTTTTAAGTAAAGTGTTTTTTCCTGTGAAATCTTTCAAATTAAAAGAGGCGTTTTAACACGATCTCATCAATAAACATTCATGGGAATTATTTATTTAAATGTGGACATTATAACAACTTTAAACCAAATATTTATGTCTTTTTTTCTTCTTGCTGGACTTCATTCATCAATCTGTTCACCATATACCATTTACCTCTTTGTTTATGTTTTTATTTATTTTTTTGTTAAACCATTTAAACCCCGTAAACAGCTGTTGTTTAAAACAACCATTTCAAATACACTTTGAAACCAAATGATATAATTGTGTTGTGAAATAATATATAATATAGAAAAAATATATTTTTCTATATTAAGTTTTGAACACTTTAGTGTCATTTTATCCTTTTAAAAACTTTATGCACACTTGGTAATAAATACATTCATAACATTTTTTTAAATGTCACATATCTTGTTTAGATCAAACAAGAGCTCATCTGAAGCATGTCTCCAACCTTGGCGTTCATTCCTTTTGTACGACAGAGTATTAGAGCCAGGCTAGAGATTCTATTTTTCTTCTATTTCGAGAATAAAGTCGTAAAATTACAAGAGTACAGTCGTAACATTACGAGAGTACAACTTTATTCTCATGATGTTATGACTTTATTCTCATGATGTTATGACTTTATTCTCATGATGTTACGACTTTATTCTCATGATGTTATGACTTTATTCTCATGATGTTACGA